AAAGCAACATTTTCTCCTGTTATCTCAGATGCTGGTTTTTACACTCAGAATGGTCAATACTCAAAATTTTAGCCTAGAGCTGAATTTGATAAAAATAAGTTTCTTTTTTTATGCTCCTTTTTTTATTGACATAAAATTTTTCCTAGAGTTAAATGCACAGATCTTAAGTATATGTAAAATTTAAGGAATTCTGATTAATGTACATTCCTATTTAACCATCATTACAATCAAGATATAGATTATTTCCATCACCCTGGAAACTTCCTTTATTTCTACTTCTATTCTCTCAACCCCTACAGGCAAACATTGTTCTTTTTGTCACCATAGATTAGTTTTGCCTGTTCTAGAATATCGTATAAATAAACTTATCTATGTGTATCTTCTATGTCTGGCTTTTTTTCACCTACCATAATATTTTTGGGTTTTGTCCTTATTGTTGCATGTATCAATAGTTCTCTGAGCTTGTGTATCTGTAAGTTGTTTTCACCAAGTGGGAAATTTCAGCCATTATTTCTTTTAGGTATTTTTTTTCCATCTCATTCTCTCTCCTCTCTTTTTGGGACTCTGATTCTGTGGTTAGACTGTTTAATATTGTCATTTATATCACTGAAGTTTTGCTCACTTTTCCTAATTCTCATTTTCTTTTTTCCTCAGAATAGATTTCTATTGGTATTTCTTCAAGTTCACTAATTTTTATTCTCTAATCAGCTCTTAAATTCATCCAGTAAAATTTTTGTTTCTGGTATAATTTTCAGTTCTAGAGTTTTCATTTGGCTTTTTTTCATGGTTTTATTTCTCTGTTGAGGTTATTATGATTTAGTTTTTATTTTAAGTCCTTAAACATATTATCATAACTTCTTTAAGTATTAATATGCTAATTCTAACACGAGAGCTACCTCAGGGACTATTTCTATTGATGCGGGGTTTTTTTCTTGATTAAGGGTCACCATAACTCGTTTTTTTAAAAATTGCGTAATAATTTTTGATTATATACACAACATTTCGTATAATGCATTATAGAGACTCTAGACCCCTTGATCTTCCTTTCATGAGTGTTGGTTGTTTGATCTAGTAGTTGAGTTACTGGTTTGTCACCTTGATCTTAAGTATGCTTGGTCTTATGCTTTGTTATAACACATCTCTGGTGTTAAAAATCAAAATTCAACTGAGTAAATTTAAAGATCTAATTGGTTTTATTTAAGAGTTCATGAACTGGGTAGCATCCCCTCTGGCAAATACAAGGGAGCTCCAAGGAGTTGTACAAAATGAAAGACTTTTATAGGCAGAAGCAGGGCAGGACAAGCAACTTATTAGCAAAAGAAAAGAAAGGATTGTTATGGGCAAGGTCCCTTAGGGAGAAAGGCAGAAAGTCTTAATGCACAGATTACCTCACAGGTGCTGATCAGGAAATCCCAGACTGGTTTAAAATTCCATTCCTAGGAGAGGCCAAAACTGCTTTTAGGTGGTATTAAAGCTTGGTGGGGCTTAACGTTAAGTGACTCCATTTTGAACCTGTTTCTTTTTAACACTGGAAAGCCCTGATGTCTCGTAAGCCCTTCTAATTTTGTAAGACTCAACTCTAAACTTGAGTCTTCTCTACCCTGCATCAACTGTGGACTGGAAATGTCCCCAGGGGAAATGGAAATGTGGACCTCACCCAATGATTGTGGTTTTGTTGGTTTTAAGGATCTAATCTCCTACAGTTTCTGCTTTCTTACGGTCTCCGGTGCCTTCAATAGGTAGTATTTTGTTTTGTTTTTTAAATTTATTTTGTTGAGAGATATAATTGTTATCTTTCAAGGACTTAGTTAAAGTAAACTACTTCTCCATTACTAAAACTTGACTTCAAAATGAATTTCAAACTGCATATTTTATATTGTACACATAATGAACTATGAAATTTGGGAAGTGATTAGATGAATATTTGCAAATATGTTTTCCTTTCTCTCTAGCCTGATCTTGTTTTCTCTTTCCCTGGACACTGGTATTTAATTCTTGGTTTTCTGCATGGCTCAGCAGTTTGAGCCTCTAGCATTTTTCCCTCTCACATTCCCAACCTTTGTTTAGTACTTTTCCTGATCACAGTACTCTTTACACTAAATTGTGATAATCTATTGACTTGTTTATATACCCCTTCGACTATGGGGGCATGAGGGCTTTACCTTGTTTTATATCTGGCTCATTATTTGGCACTTATTAGGCACTGAACATACAAATATATTGATAAATTAATAAATAAATGGAAGAATTAAACAAAATAGAAATATTTGAAATGGAAATTTGAAACTGAGATTTTCATGAAACTTCTGTTTTTACAAAGGTATTTAAATAATGATTTTCCTAGACTGAATTTTGTCCTAAGTTATCAGTATTTGGGTTGAGTCATTTTAACACTAATAAAATATTTATGTTGAAAAATATATATAATTTTATACAATTGAAAGGCAGAGGAGGCAGGTTAACAGGGAAGGGGAAGATTAGATCCTGAAGTCATCTGCTCTAATTTCTCTTAAGTCATAACTCAGGACAGGACTCTGGAAAAATATGAATGCACTAATGCATTCCAGAAGAGTTGGTGACAGTGGTTTTATGTCACTTTATGTCATAGAGGTTACATTTTAATGGGCAGTGAAACTCCATTTTGCCAAGTAAGAGAACCTGGACCAATTTATACAGAAAATTCTAGTAAAATAACATAACAGGCTGATGTTAATAAATGGTCTGCTGTTTCTTTTTGAAATAAAGGTGGCTGAGACAGTGAAAAAAGATTTTAGGACAAGGTCTGGACCTTTCTGTTCATCCATAAAAGGATTGAATTTAATTGTTTTGCATTCTCAAATTTTCCTGTAACATTAACTAATAAACCTGCTTATTCCTTCATTTATTCCTTTATGCACAATCATTTTTTATATGCGTACTTCAGGCTAAGGGTGGTGCTAGGCCTTGGTTACATATAGACGAATAAGACATAGTTCCACCCTGTAAGTCCTCACAGGAAACCATAATGTACTTCATAATATATAAATATTGACATATAAGCTACAGGGAAGAATGTTTAACTTTGCTTGAAAAGAAATAGGGAGTGTACCTCGGAGAAAGTGACTCATAAATTAACACTTGAAAACAAGGTCAGAGATCTTTTAAAAAATCAGATAGTGAAGTTGCAGATGTAAAGAAGAAAAGGAGAGAACAGTAGAAGGAAAAGCATAGAGCTAATGTCTTAGAAGATAAAGTGGTGATAAGGCAAAAGGAAATATGAATCAGTCTGCTGCAATTAAAGTCCTTTGGCGATTATTAGTGTCTAGTGCAACTTCGGCTTTGGCAATTGTGCGTCATGTTATGGTAGTGCTACCTAACTCTATAACCAGTGGCTTAAAGATTAGCATTAACCAACTTATGCTATGCAGCTATGCTTGAGGGTACAGCGACAAATTTAAAGAATTTGCTCTGCGGACATGTTTTATTTGGCCGGCACAATCATTTAAACGATTTTTTTGAATTTGAATGTACTTACTGGTTTGCAACAACTTCCACATATCTTTGTTGCTTCACACACTAACATTTTCTTGCTGACCCCTAAAGGTATTTTAGTGTGCAATCCTTAATCCAGAGACTGGTTTTATGATCATTTGAAAAATCTTTCCAACGTAAGACACAGTATGAATAAACAATTGGATTGAAGATGATTTCAGAAGTTGTGCTGTTTTGTGTTATTATGTTTGAGTTCGAGAAAATTCTGTTACTTTGAACAGTATAATAAACAGTGTTGGTTTTAATGGATGGATTATTGGACATTAGTCCAATTATCCAGCCAGAAGAGTTTAAATTACAAGGGCCTAGAAATTAGCTTGGACACATGCCTCAGCAGTGATTTCAGGAATGCAGTTACTGAAGTTGGCGAAATAATTGTTGTATTGCACAGTAGCGTGCTTGTAGGAGGGAAGAACAGTGATAATAAAACAATAACACAACAGAGTTATTTCAAGGGAAGTGTTATCCTTGATAGAAGAGGAGCAAAAAGCCCCCTGAGATCTGAGTAAGGGAGATCTTGGGACAGAATTTCCAGAGGGACAGTGGTTGTGATTCCAACAGACCCCAGTGCTTTTCCGCAAATTGTCCCACTCCCTTAATTTCTGTCATTTTGTCTCTTGCACTGATAACGTAGCTCAGCTCCCAGGGCTGTGCTTCTCCGCCTGGAAAACTCTAGCCCCTATTTAGATGGAACTCTTTTGTGTTTCCTACTTCAGCACACCAAAGACACAAAGAAGTATTAGCAAGTTACTCTCTTACATACTAAGAAAGATAAATATGTATATAAAACTTAAACAGGGAAGACTTGTTTAACATTATTCAGCATAGTTCTTGATTCTCAAATAGCTACACTGTTGCCTCCCACAGTCCTCCTGGTGCCTTGCGTGGCTCCCCTCCTCACCTACACCTTTACCAGACACCTGTCTCTGCTGCTGGTGACGCCTAACCATTGATATGTTAATGAGCATGTATGTGTATACCCATTGTGTGTATTCAGGAAAAAGTATGAGCTAAATAAATTGTTATTCTGAAAATTGATGAACAGTATTTATTAGTATCGTTGTCTACCACATGTGCCATTGTAAGTGGGCCCAGTAAACTACATAAAATGTGTTTCTGATGAGACTTATTTTTTAGTAAATATAATATGAATTTTACATTCAAATACTGTATTCACTGAGAAAGTAAAGAATTTTGATGTTGCTGCCTTTACTTAGAATGTTTCAAAATCTTCTTTGTAGAAATTGCCTTTAGAGGTTTTAGCAAATTCTTTAGCATATTCTCAATAGTGACAATTTTTTTTAAAATCATTTCTGGGTAAGTTTGATTTTTGGAAATAGCCAGGAGTTATTTGGTGTGAACTCTGGTAAATAAAGTGGCTGATCATACTAGGTATTATAATTTAGCAGAAGGAAATAAAGTTGAAGTGAGGATAAACAATGAGGTTTTTGTTTTGTTTTGTTTTGTAGATCAAGCTGGCTGCCTCAGATCTTCCTCTTCTCATCTATGTAGCTGCAGAAGGAATGGTTGCGGGAATATCAGCATGATATTGGTAAATGCCTGAAAAGCTTCTGACAATGTGTTTTCCAACCAGAAGGTTTTAACTTGAAACTCTCTCATGAAAAGTGAGTATAAACCTCTTTTCTCTCCAAGATGCTCTACTGTAACTATTAGCATGAGACAGTGTTTTTTAATTTATTTATTTGACAGAGAGAGACACAGCGAGAGGGGGAACACAAGCAGGGGGAGTGGGAGAGGGAAAAGCAGGCTTTCCGCAGAGCAGGGAGCCCGATGTGGGGCTCGATCCCAGGACCCTGGGATCATGACCTGAGCCGAAGGAAGACTCCCAACGACTGAGCCACCCAGGCGCCCCAGCATGAGACAGTTTGTGAAAGGAGGGACAATGTTCTTTTTTTTCCGCTCACTTTTTTTTTTCCTCACGTATTTCCCACACCTCATATTCTGCATGGCACATAGTAGCGTATTCAATAAATATTTGTTGAGTGAACAAAAGGTAAACATGTTGACTTTTCTCTTCAATAAACATTGGCCCTACTATTAGTAAGAGCAGTGTTAATAAGATAACTTTTAGGTAATTATAAATTGTAAGTGATATGTAACTAAGTTTCTACTATTAAATATAGATTATTTTTGCTTATATTAATATATTTTAAAAGATAATAAAAGTTGTTTCATAATGGTCACCTAAGGTTATTTAGATTTTATTATGATCTGACAATATAGGGCAGGTATTCATAGAAATTATGATGTTTTCTAGGAGTACTCTTGTTCCTCTACTGAGTAAGCAGAATGATCCTGCTAAAAGTCAGTCAGAACTGTAACCAGTTCTTTGCCCAAAAGCTTCTACTGGCTCCACAAATACATGTAAGATGGGTTCCCTCCAAGGATCCTTGGACTGGGCAATTCCCATTGCCCAGAATCCACTTCTGCAGATATTTCCATGGTCAAATTGTTTATTGTCTGTAAGTTTTAGCTATAAACCTACTTCCAGGGCTCTGGGAGATCATTTTTCTTTTCTTTTTTTCATTTGTTTTTAAAGATATTATTTACTTATTTGAGGGAGAGAGAGAGATCAGAAGCAGGGGGAATCAGCAGACAGAGGGAGAGGGAGAAGCAGACTCCCCACCAAGCAGGGAGCCCGACGCGGGGCTCGATCCCAGGACCCCGGGATCATGACCTGAGCTGAAGGCAGACGCATAACCGACTGAGCCACCCAGGCAGCCCTGGAAGATAATTTTTCTAACTGTCTCATCGACCTTATGAGTTTTTCAGGAAAAATTAGATTCAATTTTGAAGTAACATTATCTGAAATAAGGTAAAAAAAAAAAAAAAAGGCAGAAACTCAGAGATGTTTTAATAGGCCGATAATTCTATTTGAAGTCATCGTAGGTAGACTGAAAAGCCCGTCTTCACCTTGCAGGATTTCATATGTTTTCAAGGAAAGGAAAGTAGATGCAGAAACATGATTTTCTTTTCTTTTCTTTTTTAAAAATTTTATTTATTTGAGAGAGTGAGAGTGAGAGAGCGTGGGGGATGGGCAGGGAGTGGAGGGACGGGGAGAGAGAGGGAGAACCAGACTCTCCACTGAGTGGGGAACCTGACATGGGGCTCAGTCCCAGGACTCTGGGATCATGACTTGAGCTGAAGGCAGATGCTTAACTGACTGAGCCACCCAGGTACCCCAGAAACATGATTTTCTAATCTACCTAGTTTTGGCTGGTTATTGAACATCTTAGTTTTTAAGTATGTTAATATTATGAAGTAACAGATTAATGATTTGAAGGAAATTTGAAGGATCAAATTTATTGTCACTTTACTTTGTTATCGGTTAGGTATATATTCTATTTCATATTCCTACAGCCACATTTGATTAATAAAATATCTTCTAAGAGCAGTACTTTGGTATTATTTTAAGGCTGGTATACTTAGCCCAGAAATAAATAAAAGAACATTGCCATTTTAGGAGATACAGCTGAAAAATGAGAAATACAGAGATGTTTGCCAAAGGACAGATATTTAGTAGAAAGAACATTTCTTACTTTCTCATTGAGTCTGGGAGTACTAGGAAAATGGAGGAAATTTGTGAGAGATCTAGTAGAGAATATATATAGTGGACTTTTAATGGAAATATAATCTTGAAAATGAAAATACTGATATATACCCTTAAGTATAAATTTTACTTTACAAAGATATATGATCTTAGTTAAGTGGGTTATTATTAGAGTTTTATAAACTCTTTTGTTATCACTCCATTACCATCAAGTTATGAGAACAGTTTCTATTATAATGTTCAAAATCTGATTCTTTTTTTTAATCCATGTCTCTAATTTGGATTATCTCTGGGAAACTGGTTGCCAAGAGGGCATGTACTGCATTATAGTTCTATAAGGGAAGATTTAGGGCTGGAAATTGGAAGAGAAGCTGCGTCACTGCACGTTAATTTTTGACCAGGAAGATAATTTTCAGTAACTTTGTTTTGAGAGTTAAATTGTATTTTGTATTTTTAGGTAGACTGGTGATTTGTTGCTGGTGTTTTACCAGGAGGGAGATTTGTAGAGGATTAGTAAGGTCAGAAGAGTTTCATTTGTTAATTCATTGCATAGAATACATAGTGCTGAGATAAAAGGTGGTTTGCAACTGCACTTTGGAAGAGAATGGTCATTTTTTCGGCTTCTTTTGAAATGAAAAGTTTTTATTTGTTGTAACAGCATTATTGCCACAAATCAAATAGGATATCTCATAGTAAAGCTTTTTTTGTTATAGTCTCCAGAATGGTACTCTTCTCTTTTAAGCTTATACTAAAAATGTGATTTCAGAGTCCCAAAATTCCAATACCTAGCTACATCGTTCTTCCTGAGGTAGATAAAATGTTAGGAACAGATTTGTATCAGCTTCCATATTATTAGTTTTCCTCTCACTTTCTTCTTTGACTTTGGAAAAACAGCTGCGAAGGTTGGTTTGAGACCTTTTATGACTTCTCTCCCTCACAGAAATGACTATTTTAGTGTTGACCTTTGTCCCTTCTCTCAGGGATAGAGATAACTTGATACCCCTAGTCATGAGAAGGAAACTGAACATCAAGGATCGAGAGAAGTAAACTAGAGAGAAGCAATATCAGTGAATTTTAAGGCAAAAAAGAATGGAAATACCCTCTGGGTATTTTCACATAGAATCAGGTTATAGAAGCAGATAAAAATGTTTTATTGTTTTAGTTTCTTCGTCTGGAAGCATAAAAAGAGCTGAAGAGATGGAAAGCCATAAAGTCTTACTTGAAAAAGAACTCTGATAATCTTGTTAGGCTGAATTTAGATTGTTACCAAATGTCTTTTTTCTTTTTACCTCTTCTACTTGTAAATACATTTTTAAGTTCTTTCTCGATTTTGAGCATCTGTAGTTCACCTGAAAGCCCATGCCAGATAACTGAACGGATTGCTGATTCTTTTTTTTTTTTTGATTGCTGATTCTTTTATTGCCAATACATCAATCTTTCTTCCACACACCCCACAAATATATATGCCAACAATTAAGGTATATTCATATAAAAGGAACATGCTGATAAAATCATCATCATGTGTGTTACTATTGAGATTTATTTTTATTATGACATTCATCATTCTCTGGTATATTCTTGTGTATTTATCTGTTTATTATTTGTGTCCTCCCACGAGATGGTAATTTTTATGAGAGGGAATATTCATCTTATAAACCTAGAGAGTGTCAGGTACACAGCAGATGTTAAATGTTGGTTGAATAAATGGATGAATGAATCACCCAAGGCAGATTCCTTCCACAGTGAGATAGTACCCTATCTTGACTTTGCAGAAAATTCTAACCACTGTTTGGAGCTCCACATCTGAATGTCCAACTGCTTTCTTTCTTTTTTTTTTTTAAGATTTTATTTATTTATTTGAGACAGAGAGAATGAGAGAGACAGAGAGCACATGAGAGGGGGGAGGGTCAGAGGACGAAGCAGACTCCCTGCCGAGCAGGGAGCCCGATGCAGGACTCGATCCCGGGACTCCAGGATCATGACCCGAGCCGAAGGCAGTCGCTTAACCAACTGAGCCACCCAGGCGCCCTGTCCAACTGCTTTCTTACCTCTTCCACTTGACTGTCTGACAGGAATCCCACATTTAACATTGTCCACAATATACCTCCTAATTTCTTAAACCAAATCTGTTCTAAGTCAAATCCATGTTTTAATCATCTCAAGTAAATGGCTACTTGATTTCTTTTTTTCCTTTCCCTCTCTATGTACAATCTATCAGTAAGTTCAGACAGCTATACCTCCAAAAAAATTTTTCAGATCTGTCTACTTTTCTTCACCTTTCCATTTGTCACTTGGACAAGCTACCACTGTCTCTCGTGTGGACATCTGTAATCTCCTCTAAATAAATGGTTTCTTTGCTTCCATTCTTGCCCTCTATCATCTGTTCTCCACACAGCAGCAGAAGTGCTGTTTAAAAAATCCTGAGCCACTTTAGGATGCCTTCCCTCTACCATTAGAATAAAATCTGAACTCTTCACTGTGGTTTTGAGGACTCGTATGAGTTCTGCCTCCTCTCCCACCTGACCCTGTTGGACGCTTCTCACTAACCTCCAGCCACAATGACGCTCTTCCTGCTCATCAACTAGGCCCTGGTCACTCCTAAACTTGGGGCCTGTTGAACTTGCTGTACCCTCTGTGTATGTTTTGCTCCCAATCTTTCCATTTCTAGCTCATGTTGTCATTCACAAATCAACTCCAATCTACAAAAGTGGCCCCCAGTCATGCTCCATCACATTCCCTAATTTATTTTCTTCACAGAACTTGAACTATAGAAAGTGATTGTGAACTTTCCTTCTGGAACAGAAACTCCATGAGAGCAGAGAACAAGGACTTTGCCTTTCTTCTTCCATATTATATCCTGGGACCTAAGACAGTGCCTGACGTGTGGTGTGCAGGTGCTCAATAAAATACAATGAGAAGATATGCAGATGAACATGCAGAGATACATCTTCATAAGAGTTAAAAAGATAGCTAAAATGTCCTTCCCTCTTTCCTTAGCTATGGAAACGTTCCAGACTTGTTAAAATTACCAACTGACACAGCGATAAGGTAGGA